AAATCCATGGCTGATTCATGTCCATGTATGACAAAATCCACTACAATATTGTAAAGTAATTAGCCTCCAACTAATAAAAACAAATGAAAAAAAAATTTCCAAGCTAGGCTTCCAACAGTATGTCAACCGTCAACTTCCAGATGTTCAAGGTGGATTTAGAAAAGGCAGAGGAACCAGAGATCAGATTGCCAGCATCCATTGGATCATTGAAAAAGCAAGAGAGCTTTTTATAAGCAGGAGAACTTTCAATACTAGACCACCTGACCTGCATCCTGAGAAATGTGTATGCAGGTCAAAAAGCAACAGTTAGAACTGGATGTGGAACAACAAACTGGTTCCAAATAGGGAAAGGATACGTCAAGGCTGTATATTGTCACCCTGCTTATTTAACTTGTATGCAGAGTACATCATGAGAAATGCTGGACTGGATGGAGCACAAGCTGGAATCAGGATTGCCAGGAGAAATATCAATAACCTCAGATATGCAGATGACACCACCCTTGTGGCAGAAAGCAAAGAACTGAAGAGCCTCTTGATGAAAGTGTAAGAGGAATGTGAAAAAGTTGGCTTAAAGCTCAACAGTCAGAAAACTAAGATCATGGCTTCCAGTCCCATCACTTCATGGCAAATAGATAGGGAAACAGTGACTGACTTTATTTTTTGGGGCTCCAAAATCACTGCAGATGGTGACTACAACTATGAAATTAAAAGATGCTTGCTCCTTGAAAGAAAAGTTATGACCAACCTAGACAGCTTATTAAAAAGCAGAGACATTATTTTGCCAACAAAGGTCCGTCTAGTCAAAGCTATGGTTTTTCCAGAAGTCATGTATGGATGTGAGAGTTGGACTATAAAGAAAGCTAAGTGCCGAAGAATTGATGCTTTTGAACTGTGGTGTTGGAGAAGACTCTTCAGAGTCCCCTGGACTGCAAGGAGATCCAACCAGTCAATCCTAAAGGTGATCAGTCCTGAATATTCATTGGAAGGACTGATGCTGAAGCGGAAATCTGATGCGAAGAACTGACTCATTTGAAAAGACCCTGATGCTGCGATAGATCGAAGGCAGGAGAAGGGGACATCAGAGGATGAGATGGTTGGATGGCATCATCGACTCAGTGTGTAAACTCTGGGTGTTGGTGATGGACAGGGAGGCCTGGTGTGTGGCAGTCCATGGGGTTGCAAAGAGTCGGACACGACTGACTGAACTGAACTGTCATAATAAGAGGAGATGCTTGTTGATTGCTTACTCTGCGGTAGACCCTGTGTGTGATATATCATAATGCTTGCAACCTTGTGAGGCCCCTTTATTCCTGTGAAGCTGCAGCCCAGAAAGGTTAAGGGGTTCACCCAACAGGATGAAACTGAATTCCAGACTATGACCCTGAAGCTTGCGTACTTAAATCAGGCATTGTAATAACCTCGGTCTCATTGTTTGTGTAACCTCAGTTTTGAAGCACTTATTAAATGCCAGCCTCTGCGAGAAGTGTGTTAACAAAATCACTATGACCCAAGCACTATTTTAGTCCCATTATTTGTGATGAGAGTGGTACAGCGGGCAGTCTGTATCATAGCTGCACCAAGGAGCAGGCTTGCAAATACTGTGTGACCAAATCCTGACTGTGGGCTTGATGACCCCAGTTCATGATCTCCGGGTGTCTCTGCTCTACTCCTGAACCTGTGTGGTTTCATCTCACTTGCCAATCTGATGGGTGAAAAGAACAGCACTTCACGGAAGTTTTAATTTGTGTTCTTTTCAATCAGAAAGGATGAGCACCTTCTCGTTTTTGTAAGTACTGTCTGATTCTGTTCTTTGTTCTTAGTTGCTCAGTTGTTTCTGACTCTCTGTGACCCTGTGGATTGTGGCATGCCAGGCTTCCCTGTCCCTCACCGTCTCCCGGAGTTTGCTCAAACTCATGTCTCTAGAGGCGGTGATGTCTTCCAACCATCTCATTCTGTTGTCCCCTTTGTTCTTGCTGGTCTTCAAATCTGACAGCTTCCTTCATCTTCAGCGTACCTGTCACTCAGAGGCCCTGACCCCTGACTCGGGTATGATGTGTTTGCTTGGGTTAGCGTGGGCAGAGTACAGTGAACAATTCATTCCACGTGTTCTGGTAGGGTCTCAGTTCTCAGTTATGTTTCTTTAACAAAATTAAATGGAGTAACAATTTTAAAGGAGAAAGCAATAGCAGCCAGCCTTGTTCATTTGGAATGAATGGCTGTGCTTCCTTGTAATTCCATTTACCTGGGAAGATTTGTATCAGTCAGGAGAGGGGAGGTTATGCCATGGTAACGAACAATTCCCCGAAACAAACAGCTCTGGTTTTCACAGCATGGTTGAGTTCTGCCTCTGTGGCTCAGCGGGTGGTTTCTGCTGTCGGTAGTTTCTCAGGGGCCCAGTCTGGGAGGGGCTGCAGTTCATGGCGGGGTCTCCATGATCTTAGAAGCAGGCAGAGTTCCCATTGGGCCTTGAAGTCGGCTTCTAAAGCCTTTACCGGGAGTGACACATGATGCCTCTCAGCTCATTGGCCAGGGTAGGTCATGGTGCCCACACCGGTGTTCAGAAGCGTGGAGAAATGAGATCCTGCTGATGTACAGCCCCGGGGCTGGGGGTGGACAAACACTTGCGGGTCCCAGGTGACCTCCTTAGGAGCGGCAGCCCAGCTTCTGCATCTCAAGTAGCAGAGGTCCTGAGACTGTGCTGAGCAAAAGTGAGATTGAAGCTCTGCCTGACGGACGTAACAGGCGAGGCCAGAGCTGGTTCTCCTCCTCTGGGGTTGGGGAGAGGAGAAGGCCCAGGACCCAAGTATCGAGAGCCCGGTGGGTCACAGACATGGTTTCCTAAGAGCCTTGTCGCCAGGATCGGCCAGCTCACACCTGCTGAGCCCGGGTGGTGCGTTCCGATCCCACCTGCCTTTCTGCGTGTCCGAAAGTCGTCAGAGGCACTCTGTCCTGTGGGTTTCCCACGGTCGTCTTCTCTCGGCCTCAACGCCTCAGTTCTCATCTGCTGTCAGAGGACGTCGTGCCAGGTCACTGCCTCGGTTTTTGTTTTTTTTTTAACACGAGCACATTAAAGGACACTAGTTGGCTTTCCCTTTAAGTCACCCAGCTGTTACAAATAGTATTTTAGGGTGTTTCTTGATGATCTCGAGGTGATGTGTTTTTTTTTTTCTTTAGAAGTAGTTTTGTTGATTTTGAGAGTTCAGTTTACTCTATGCTTCTGGTGGAAAATGTCACTTTCCTTCTTTTCCATTGACCTCCTGCATAGCCTCAGTGTGTGTGTTAGAGTTGAGATCATTTTCCTTGCTTCTGGAAAGCAAGCTGTCACGGGCCTGAGACCACACGGCTCTGAAACACGTCGGGCGATGTTCCTGTGAGCTGTCTGCCTTGGGAGGGGTCACTGTGCAGGGAGAGGTTTCGAGAACAGCGGAGAAGAAGGCAGATCCGGCCCCATACAGCTCACGTAGCTCAGCCCGGGAGCAGATGGTGCTTCGCTCCACACTGCCCATCAGCGACACGTGGAAGCCGACGGAGCACAGCTCCATGGGCACCCTGCCCTGGGGTGGGGGGACGCTCCCGCCTCCCTAAGTAGGTGCTCAGCTGAGTCCAGTGAGGAGAACATTCACGCAGAGCTGCTGGGGGCCAGCGGGGGGCAGGCAGGGTCCGCCGTGGACCTGTGTTGTTAGAAAGTTTGAAGCCAAAGCAGTGAGAGATGGGGCTGGTGAATCGGGCTGGAGTCCGCCGTGGAGGCCTTCTTGAGCGACTTTGTAAGAAGCGTAGACTTCACCCTGTCAGCTTTCAGTCAATATTTGTGTGAGTCATGTGGATTGTTCCACGGGAAGGGCAGACGTTTGGTGTATAAGACTGAGTCAGGAGGACCCAGCCAGCGCTCTCGGAGCGGCCACTCGATGCTGTGAGGAACAGCATGACCCTGTTAGGAGGAAGTCCACCCACCGTATTTCTCAGGTGCAGCGAACGCCCAGGGACGCCCTAGCACAGACCAGGCCCACAGTCCTGGCTTCCCAGCTGGTGCTAGTGGTAAAGAACCTGCCTGCCAGTATAGAAGCCGCAAGAGACAGGAGTTCGAGCCCTGGGTCAGGAAGATGCCCTGGAGGAGGGCATGGCAACCCACTCCAGTATCCTCGCCTGGAGAGTCCCATGGACAGAGGGGCCTGGCAGGGTACCGTCTATGAGGCTGCAAAGAGCTGGACACAATTGGGCGACTTAGCGCACACATCGGCCCGTGTCCTGCTGGAGGAGGCCCGCTCGAGGTGGGGGTGGGGACTGTCATCCCACACCAGCAGGGATCTGACTTCCTCCTGTGGAACTTACTGGCGAAGACGCCGGGAGTCCTGGCCTAGAAGCACATGGCTCCCATCTCTGCTGGGCGCCCCCCCGACCCGCACTCAGAACACCTGGCGGTGAAGCGCAGTTGGGTGGTTGATGGGAAATGCAGGCCTTCGGTGGCTCACACACAGGGCTCTTCTCGGGGACGGGGAGGTCTGTGTTCTGCTTGGTCGCGGGCGTAGACTCGAGGTTTCCACAGACAGAAGCATGCGGCTTCACAGGAAGCTGGCCTGATGGAGACAGAGGCTGTTTGAAGGGAACGCATGTACAGCGTGCTCAGTCGTGTCTGTCTCTGCGACCCCATGACTGAAGCCCACCAGGCTCCTCTGTCCATGGGATTTTCTAGGCAAGAATGCTGGAGTGGGTCACCATTTCCTTCTCTGTTGAAGGGACAAAGGGTCTCCCCCAGTCTTGAATCCATGCCCTGCGTCCCCTCCAGCAATGCCAGGGGCTCCCCCAGCCCCGTCTCCCCGACACTGGCTCGCAGCCCTGGACCCTGAGCCCTCCAGAGTGTCCGTGTGTCTTCCTGTCCGCTCACATCCTGCCTCTTACACCCGTGCCGCGGCCTACTGGGTTCTTCCCGGCCCCAGTGGCTGCGTGCGCCTCTGTCCGCGTCACCACCTTCTTCCTCACCTGCCTCTCCTCTCGTTTTCCAGGCTCTGCAGAGTAACCTGAGATACTCCCTGTTGCCCAGGCGGCTCGTCATCAGCAAGAGATTAGCCCAGTGCCTGCATCCCGCCTTGCCCAGTGGCGTGCACTTAAAAGCCCTAGAAACCTATGAGATCATCTTTAAGATCGTGGGGACCAAATGGCTGGCCAAGGATTTGTTCCTGTACAGGTAATGCTAGCTTCACCCACCACTTCCCTCTTCTATTCCCCAAGGAATCCACGTTTCGGTTCGCCAGAGCAGGAAAGGATGCACAAAGGGAAACACGAAGGGATGTGTCCATTCGCCACAAAGCCGTCCGTCAGGAGGTTCCCCCAGCACCCACCCTCCGGAGTCTGTCCTCCCTGCCTTTTCCCCCTGAGCTGAGACGCCCTGTGTGCACACTGCCTGTGGCCTGCCCCGGGCCCGCCCTGCGTGGTGACCGTCCCGGGATAGCTGGGCACCTCCGTCACCAGCGTAGACGGCCGGCTGGTTGGCTGGCCGCTCTCGGAACCCCCTGGGGCTGGCCGACCCCTCGGAGCTTCTGAGCAGCCTCTCATTTTCCCTCCTCTCCGTTTTTTTTCCTCTGTCCCCAAAGCTGCGGGCTGTTCCCGCTTCTGGCGCACGCAGCCATGTCGGTGAGACCCGTGCTGCTCGGCCTGTATGAGAAGTACTTCCTCCCGCTGCAGAAGCTGCTGCTGCCGAGCCTCCAGGCCTTCGTCGTCGGCCTGCTGCCCGGCCTGGAGGAGGGCTCGGAGATCTGTGACAGGTGGGTGTCGGCCAGAGCCCTTGGCCCCCCGCCCCCCGGTATGGGGGGTGCCCGCTTGCGTTTCATTCCCTTCTTTGTGAGAAATGGGGGAGACATGCGGAGAAGACCTCGGAAGCAGGGTAGGTGCAGAAGTCAGGCCGATGTTCACGTTTCTGTGGCGTCTCTGCCTGATGAAGTACCGTGTGCCCCTTCGAATTTTACCACGTTTCCAGGTGGGGGTCAGGAGGTAAGAGAGTTCCCCAGAGTCTCTCGGTCTGTGGGTGGCAGGAGATAGGGTTCTGCCTCTTAACGTGTCAGGTTCTGAAGTTTTGCTCCCTTCTTCTGTATACTCGTGAACGTGAAAGCATTCGTCGCTCAGTCATGTCTGACTCTTCGAGAACTTACGGACTGGAGCCTGGCTGGCTCCTCTGTCCATGGGGATTCTCCAGGCCAAGAATACCTGGAGGGGTTTGCCATGCTCTCCTCCAAGGGGATCTTCCCGACCCAGGGATCGAAGCCAGGTCTCCAGCATTGCAGGCAGATTCTTTACTGTCTGAGACACCGGTGAAGCCCATTGTTTACTAGGCTGCTTCCAAATGAAAAAGCAAGGCTGGGTTTCATTGATGGGTAGGGCTCAGCTTGACGAGTTTCAAGCACCTTGGAGAAATTTGGCAAGCTCACAGGCATAGAAGTTCATGCAATGGTGTCTGTTTTTCTTTCTTTAAATTGGAGGCTAATTACAATATTGTGGTGGTTTTGGTCACTGCTTAGGATGGTAAAGAATCCGCCGGCAATGTGGGAGACCTGAGTTCGATCCCTGGGTTGGGAAGATCCCCTGGAGAAGGCAACAGCTACCCACTCCAGTATTCTGGTTTGGAGAATTCCATGGACTGTATAATCCATGGAGTTGCAAAGAGGTGGACACGGCTGAGTGTCTTTCACTCGGAATGGTAGAGAGAATTTGTTCATTCAGACCATGGCATGTATACGGAGAATCGTTTCTGGAGAATCGTAGTGTGAAAACTCAACTTCCAGGGTGTGAACTGTTCTGAGTGATGCCCCAGTGATGAGCCTCTCTTCACAGGACCCATTTCCATAGCCCACATGCAGCTGGCCAGGAGGTCCAGAAACCTGCATGCTTGCACAAGTTTCCACGTGATGACCCAAAGCTCTGCTCAAATCTTCCCCACACCAGAGGTCCCAGCCATTCCACCTTTGCCTTATAGTGTCAGCTGTGGCTGGAGGGTCGGGGGCATGGAGTAGAAGCAGGGAATCCATCCAAGGCCCACTCAGAGTGCGCCCCTCAAGGAAACCAAATAATCAGAATGTTTGCAGGATGGTGGCTGGTGACCCAGGGTGCGTTAAAGTCGCGAGCATCCATCCTGGCGTTTGATATGCACTTGGCCTGTTTCAGGTTTCCACTCAGAACGGGTGGTGGGTCTCCACCTCCCCATGGGGAATCCATCTCGGTGACCTGCCGAGTCACTAGCATCCACTTTCTTCGGAGGCAGGGTCCGTCTCGTTGCTGTTTTAAACCCAGCACCATGGCCTGCAAGGCCGGGTGGGCGTGTGGGTTCAGGAAGAATCAGGGTCATGCAGAGTTAACAAGCCAACCTTTGCCCAACTCTGCTCTTCACTCCTAGCCCTAGGCTCTTTCTAGAAGTTCTGGTCCATTCATGTTTTCCTAACAGATGTTTGCTATAAATGCTTCCCCCCACCGCCCGCCATCATCTAAAGATGAGCACTTCAGCTCCCACAGTATAAGGCAATTTTTTTTTTAATCTGTAAGAATGAATCACACCAGAAACCTGTCAGTAGTCAGGGTGTTGTCATACATTCTCCCGGCTGATCAATGAATGTTCATTTGAACAGTTGCGCTCCAGCCGATGAGCACGAGTGTTTTCTCCTAATATTATGATTTCTCAGCGTTCAGCCTCAAGCTGAGTAAAGCTCCGTGAATCACGGGTTACACGCGGCTGTGACACAAAGCCCGATCCGGCGTCTGCAGCGCTCAGGGGTACGAGCGACCGGCCTTCCGAGGTGGAGGCTGAGGCAGGGTTGTGTGGTCTCTGGGCGCGGGCGTGTGGGCCCAGCGATCAGGTGGTTACATGTATCCAGGTCAGTTAGAGAGGGTTCCTTCCTAACCTGCTCAGGAATTGAGTCAGACACCCCACCCCCAGGAGATGCTCTGCAGAGGGTCTGGGGGCGGGGCAGTCACGATGTCCGAGCGGGTGGAAGATGCTGAGGGGTGGGTGAGTGAGCGTGTCGGCGCTGCTGAGTCATGGGTTTCGTGGAGGCGGGGACAGTTTCTGGTCCATGTTTGTCAGTGAACCATAAGGCAATGGAGATTTTGGCCAGCGTTTGGAATTGTTACTCACCCTGGCTTTCTAATAACCCTTTGATGTCCACAAACCACTCCCACCCAGAATCCCTTTTGTAAAGTGCACATGAGGTGCCCGCGTGGCTTGCTGTGGGTTGCTATACGAGGAAGACAGGATTCGTGGTTGGAAGGCAGGCAAAACCCGGCTCCCCAGACATGACCCTTGAACTCGATAGCTCTCAGCCTAGGGTGGCGCCGGCCCTGGGGGACACTTGGCGACACCTGAGTACAGTTTTGGGGTGTTACAGCGGGGTGGGGCGGGCGCTCCTGGCATCTCGCGGGTAGAGGTGAAGGGTGTGCCTGAACGTCCCAGGATGCACACGATTGCCCCCACCGCAAAGGAGGGCCCAGCCCCAGGGGTGCACGTGGTACAGGGAGAGAAACCCTGATTTAAATGGCAGTGGGCAAGTCTTCATTGGCCTCTCTTCTGGCCAAGGCCCGCACCACGCTGACGAAGCCCTGCTGGTCCCAGAGTTTTCTCCCCCTTGTTGTTCAGTCGCTAAGTTGCGTCCAGCTGTTTGCAACTCCAGCCCCACGGACTGCGGCACGCCAGGCCTCCCTCTCCCTCACTACCTCCCAGAGTTGGCCTGGGTTTACATCCGTTGAGTCGGTGATGCCATCCAACCATCTCACCCTCTGCCGCCCTCTTCTCCTTTGACTTTCAACCCTTCCCAGCATCAGCGTCTTTTCCAGTGAGCCAGGTGTGCGCCTCAGGTGGCCAAAGTGTTGCAGCATCAACATCCGCGTCAGTCCCCCCAGTGAGTACTCAGGCTTGATTTCCTCCTTCTCTGCCGTATGCCTGATGTGGTGTTGCAGGGTGCTGTTGTTAGTGCCCTGCTGGTTCCGATGGTCACGCCCCAGGCTACTTGGTGTCATGACAGTTCGGCTCTCACGAGGGTCCATTCAGCAAGTGACCACACGGCCAGAGTCAGGAAGTGCCCGGGGCCCGCGGCACACAGCCCGACTTCCTCACTGGCTGCTGGTTGAGTAGAAGAGAGAGTGTCAGTGTCGTAGGAATGAGCTTGCGTTCACAGAGGACAAAAGCAGCGGCTAAAGTGACTGAGGAAGGGGTTGGTGTGTGTGTTTCGTTTTATTAACCGTTGATTTTAAATAGAAAAGTTTTCCATTCTGGATGCTAAACCGTGCACACTTATTTTGGAACTTCGCAGTTAAGGTGATATGAGTAATTCTTTGGTAGACAGTTAATTAGCCTTTTTTTTTTCTTTCCCTGATAGCTCAGTTGGTAAAGAATCTGCCTGCAACACAGGAGACCGTGGTTCGATTCGTGGGTTGGGAAGATCCGCTGGAGAAAGGACAGGCTACCCACTCCAGTATTCTTGGGCTTCCCTTGGGGCTCATCTGGTAAAGAATCCGCCTGCAATGTGGGAGACCTGGGTCTGATCCCTGGTTGGGAAGATCCCCTGGAGAAGGAAAAGACTACCCACTCCAGTATTCTGGCCTGGAGAATTCCATGGACTGTACAGTCCATGGGGTCGCAAAGAGTCGGACACATCTGAGCAACGTTGACTTTGGCTTTTGACCCCAGTTATCCTGCTGTTTACTTTGCTCGCCATGGCAGTCTTGTTGTTTAGTTGCTCAGTCGTGTCCAGCACTTCTGTGACACCATGGACTGTAGCCCTCTAGGTTCCTGCCCATGGGATTCTCCCGGCAAGAATACTGGAGTGGGCTGCCATTCCCTTCTCCAGGGGACCTCCCCGACCCAGGGATCAAATCTGCCTCTCCTGCATTGGCAGGAGGGTTCCTTACCACTAGCACCACCTAGGAAACCCCCCACGGCAGAGTCCTTTCGTAATTGCTTGTTTTTCTGACCTGTAACATCATTTCAGTTTTTAATATCCATTCACTTTTAAGGTAAAATTTTTATTTTTATATTAAGCTGCTTCTTTAATGTGAAAACCACTCAGTCTTGTCTGACTCTTTGCGAACCCATGGACTATACAGTCCATGGAATACTCCAGGCCAGAATACTGGAGTGGGTAGCATTTCCCTTCTCCAGGGGATCTTTCCAACCCAAGGGTCGAACCCAGGTCTCTTGCACTGCAGGTGGGTTCTTTACCAGCCGAGCCACAAGGGAAGCCCGTTTCTTTAATAAAGAAAACTGGGCGGTGTTCTCTGAATTTTGAAGAAGGGATAGCGTAAGTGGCATTCCCCAGGCTCTCAGATGGTGGAACCCCCTCTGCCATAGCCAGTGTTCCATGGAACATGCTTTGGGGATACGCTTTTGTAAGCAAGGGGCAGGAGACAGCAGTGTCCACGCTGTATTGTTTGTGATGGGTTTTAGCTTGGCGTTGGTCTTGTGTGATAGGGACGCTGGAGAGGGGAGCTCTCCGGGGGCTTCCTGGATTAATCTGCTGCTCTGGGAATCCCTTCCTAGCTCTGGACCGTCCTGTCTGTCCGCTGTGTCCACACTGACACGTCTGCCCCGCTCACCGTAACTGCAGCTGCTGAACAGTGCTTCTACCCCAAATTAGGGCTTTTGGTGGTTTTCAGAGCTGGGCAGAGATAAGCTGTATTTGTTGGCTCAGCCTTGATAGAAGGCTGATCAGTACCTTTAGCCACTAAACCATGCTGTGTCCTTCTAAGCATTTGGCTGTTTCTGATGCTTCTTCATTTTGTTTTTTTTTCCTCTGCGTCATTCGCTACGAATATATTATGAGTCAAAAAGGTTCACACTAGGTTTAAGGAAAACAAAATTAATTTTTAATGTCGAAAGGTAGTATACGTTTTTTGGTACGAAATGTTTAAGTATATACTGAGCAAGCTGAACTTGGGCAAACTCCGGGAGATGCTGAGGGACAGGGAGGCCTGGTGTGTTGCGGTCTGTGGGGTCACAAAGAGTAGGACGTGACTTAGTGGCTGATCAACAAGAGCAAGCTGCAGGCAGCATGGGTCACAGTGAAACGGGGAGAGGAGCATTCGTCTGACAGTTTTCTGGAGGGCCAGCTGCGTGTCAGACGCTCATCTGGGCACTGGGGAGGGTCAGCCACTGGAGCAGACCCGTGTTGAGTGTGTACTCAAGAGACAATCGTGCATTTTCATCCCTTTTCTCCGCCACGGCTGAGAGATGACATGCACACGGCTTTCATTTGTCCCAGGCTCTAGTGCCAAGAAGCAGATATAGGATTGCTGATTCCAGAACCTCACTGCTTTATACTGGGCTTATCCGCCTGTCTTTTTTTTTCCCCCCTGTGGTCGATGCAAATAGAAAGCATGTGAAAGACGGAATCATTTCAGATTTCGAGTCAGACCCCCCTCCTTAAGTGAAATCCCTTCGTGGGAGCTGCCTCCACTGTTGTACTGATGAGTGCCGTCACTAGGCTCACAGGTTGTGTTTTCACAGTTCGCAGGAAAGGGCCCCGCTAGCCACAGGCACCCCCCAAGCGGAGGGGGGCCCGCATTGGTCCGTGTCGGTGGAAAAACAAGCCCACACCCGCCCCTGCCCCCCGCCCCACACACACACGCACAACACTCCTTCTCTCCGAGGAGGTCCGTCTAAGTGCTGATGTGATGTCATGGCATCCCAGGTAAAGATAAGACCTGAATCCATGCGGGTGGTCCACAGGAGGGCTTCCCACAGTGGGAGCTGGGGTGTGGAGGTGCTGGGGGCAGATTGTCGGGAAAACGGCCCCAGACCTTCTAGAACATACCAGGGAGTGGGAGGCCCAGGCAGCCACTGTTCCCAGTATTTCTGAAGTCCAGTGTCCCTGGGCACGTGTGGGTCCGTGCTCCAGTCAGGGATGTCTTTATCACTGAGTGATTGAGTGATAGTCACTCATTCGTGTCCAATTCTTTGCTACCCCATGGACCGTAGCCCACCAGGCTCCTCTGTCCATAGGATTCTCCAGGCAAGAATACTGGAGTGGGTTGCCATTTCCTTCTCCAGGGGATCTTCCCGACCAAGGGATCAAACACAGGTCTCCTGCATTGCAGGCAGATTCTTTCCTGTCTGAGCCACTGTGGAAGTCTTTATCATCACCTAGGTCTTTAATCAGTCATGTCAGCCTTTGTTTTGTTTTGTTTTGTTTTTTGGCGCATTAATGGCCCCTCATGCTCTTATACAGGGAGGCGGGTCTGCTCATCTCCTTGGGGCATTGGGCCCGCCTCCCACAAGCAGGGTGACATCCGTGGCGAGGCCAGAGGTGGAGATGGATCTCTGTGCCCCGAGGGGAACATGACCAGTCAGATGCTGCCCTTCGGCCAAGGCACGGCCCCTCTTGGTGACACGCTTGCCCTAGCAAATTCAGTTTTCAGTGACAGCCAGCAGGCGGACGGACAGACACCGAAGGGGAATGCGGCGGCCGCGGCAGCTCAGAATGAGGAAGGTGGCGTTTCCCTGGCCCGCAGGGAGCGCCCTGACACTGTGCTCTCCCGTCCTAGGACGGACGCGCTGCTGCTGAGGCTGTCCTTGGTGGTCGGCAGGGAGGTCTTCTACGCCGCCCTCTGGGGGAGTGTCCTGGCCAGCCCGTCCATCCGCCTGCCCGCCTCGCTCTTCGTGGTGGGCCACATCAACCGGGGCGCGCCCGGCCGGGAGCAGAAGTACATGCTGGGGACTGACCACCAGCTCACGGTGGGTGCCACGGTCCTGGCAGGGGGTGGGGGGCAGGCGGGCACTGCGGGGAGCGGAGGTGTTCCGAGGCACCGGGCAGGCGGGGAGGCGGCCTCACTGTGCGGCCCCGATGGGGGCGCGGGTCTCTGACACCCGCATCACCACATGCTGCTCACACCTGAGCAGGGCCCTTCAGGAGACCCCGTGGCTTCTGTAATACAGGTGGGCCCTGAGAGCCCCCGGCCGGGGGTCTGCTGTTGAGCCGCAGCCGTGTTTTCAGCCCCCACCCCCACCTCCGTCACACTGACCGCTGACCACCACCTGCAAACCGGCTCCCTCCCCTGGCTCCCGCCGCCCTCCCGTGTGTTGTCCTCCTCTCCTCCGGCTGCTTGCACACCTACGTTGTCCAGGCCCGTCAGGGGTCTGGCCCCAGGCCTTCTTCCCTGGAGGTGACCTGCCTTCTCATGACCCTGAAAACGGAATTTCTCAGATCTGTTGTCTTTTCTCCCCAAACTTCTCCAGTTCTCCACTCCAGAATACTGCAGTGGGTAGCCTCTCCCTTCTCCAGGGGATCTCCCCAACCCAGGGGTCAAACCCAGGTCTCCCGCATTGCGGGCAGATTCTCTACCAGCTAAGCCACCAGGAAAGCCCAAGAATACTGGAGTGGGTAGCCTATCCCTTCTCCAGGGGATCCGCCTGAACCAGGAATCAAACCGCGGTCTCCTGCATTGCAGGCAGATTCTTTACCAACTGAGCTATCAGGGAAACACTCCCAAACTTCAGTTCAGTTCAGCTCAGTCGTGTCCGACTCTTTGCGACCCCATGGACTGCAGCACACCAGGCTTCCCTGTCCATCACCAACTCCCAGAGCTTGCTCAAACTCATGTTCATTGGGTTGGTGATGCCAGCCAACCATCTCATTCTCTGTCATCCCTTTGTCCTCCTGCCTTCAGTCTTTCCCAGCATCAGGGTCGTTTCCAGTGAGTCAGTTCTTCGCCCTAGAAGGCCAAAGTATTGGAGTTTCAGTTTCAGCATCAGTCCTTCCAGTGAATATTCAGGACCAATTTCCTTTAGGATGGACTGGTTGTATCTCCTTGCAGTCCAAGGGACTCTCAAGAGTCTTCTCCAGCACCACAGCTCAAAAGCATCCGTTCCGCTCTGAGTCACAGCAGTTCTCCCTAACTTAACACTTGTTTAATGGTGTGCAGTCCGTCGCCACCTAGTGGTAGACCTCGCTTCAAACTGAAAACGTTCAACACTGAACTCAGCGTCAAGAAAGCGGGCAGCGATTCCTTACCCCTCTGAATCCGTTCCACTTTGCACCGTGGAAATAATAGATCTTCCTGTGGGGCTCTCCGAGGAAAAGAGTGATGAAGGGACGTCGTCCGATGCTTAGGACAGAGGAGACCCTCACAGACACACTCCCTCCTCCTCTGCCCCTCATTCTCTTCCTCCATTTTCACCTCCCTGCTTCGGCTCCTTCGGTCTTGTTCCCGGACCGTCATGTAATTTTCTAACTGATTTCTCCCCATCTCTTCCCTCTCCCATCCAGTGCTTTTTTGGTTGCTACGAGACTTCACTTTGCTGAAGCATAGGTTTCCTTAGATTTTTTCTGTGCTTGAAAAATTACCAGCTGCCAGCAGATAAAGTCCATCCTCAGGAGTATCCTGATGGCCTGTTCCCAGCCCCCCAGAGGCCTGACTCTCCCCTCTCGGCCATCTGCGCGCCCAGAGCCCGCTGCCCCTCCTGACCTGGCACGTCTGTGACGCCGTCTTTGCTCGAGCCGGTCCCTCCCTCGTCCCACGCTCACTGCCCGTCTCTTCCCTCCCATCTCAGTGTCCATCTGGCCTGTCTTTCAAGCTCAGCTTCCCCACGAAGCTTTGCTGTTCCCCCAGTTGAACGATCTCACCCTCTCCTCTTCCCGGTTCTCACAGCCTTGTGTTAAAACTCTTCTTATGCCTGTTTTTCTATCCTGCAGCTGTAGCACATGTATCTGTCCTCGGAAAGGACCCTCAAAATCCACACTGAATTGGTTTGGAGATCATTTGGCTGGATGTCATTGGAGTTTTAGTATAGTCGAAGGTCCCTTATGGAACCTAAAAACATTTCTTTCTGGGATTGTAGGATCTGAGGTCTTAGAGCCTGGCCATCCGGGCCAAGCCCCTCTACTTCTGAAATGGAGCAGCGAGGTCTTCCCCACGACACAGAACCCCTGCTAGCGTCTGGAGCTAGAACCAGGTTTCCCATATTTACACCGTGTTGTTCTGTTCCACGTGACGTTAACACGGTGGTTTCAAGACGACCAGGAAAAGTTTTTTCATTTTTACGACTAAAAAGAATAGCTGCCGATGATGTTCAGTGTCTTGGGTGTGAAATGTTCATGGCGTTTTGTCCTTTGCAGATCAAGTCCTTATGTGCATCCCTGTTGGACTCAAACGTGCTGGTGCAAAGAAATAACCTGGAGATTGTCCTGTTCTTCTTCCCCTTTTATACCTGTCTGGTGAGCCGTCTGTGTTCTTCCGGGGGCAGTGTTGGTCTTCCCCGAGGCCATGGGGTCGGCGGGAGAGACCCAAGCCGTCTTGTCAGGAGGGGCGGGCAGGCACTTGGTGACCGCTATCCGCGGTCAGCTCATTTCTGTGCGGGTGGTGTCTCCATAGCAGAATCAAGTATTCTGCCCTGGGCAGCATGTGAAGAACCCAGCCCTTTTGAGAACCCCCTCTAGAAGATAAAGCTGTGTAGGCTGGTAAAGAGGGTGTGCATGTCAGAAGGCCAGCGATTTACTGTGTCATCACCTTGCAGTAAAGTTTCCTCCATCCTCCTAGGATTCCAGCGAGAGAGCCATCCCCCTGCTCAGATCTGACATCGTGCGCGTCCTCTCAGCTGCCACTCAGACCCTCCTGAGACGGGATATGTCTCTGAACAGAAGGCTTTACGCCTGGTTACTTGGTACGTAGGGGCTGGAGAGCCAGAGGGAAGGTGCTGATTTGGGGAATCAGTTCTAACCATGGTGATGCATTTCTGGATGTCATCAGTGTGGGAAGATGGCATGCAGACCCAGCTGTCAGCTGGTCAGCAGAGTTCTGCCGTCTAGCCCGCTGCTTTGGTTATTTTGCAGTCAGTATAGAAAATCCAGGGAAGTAATGGGATCTTTTGGAGAAGGAAATGGCAACCCACTGCAGTGTTCTTGCCTGGAGAATCCCACAGACAGGAGACTGGCAGGCTACAGTCCATGGGGCCGCAAAGAGCCAGACACTACTGAGCGACTCATACTTTCACTTTCTTTGGGTGACTTCGGGAGCGCGCGAGAATCCCAGTTCATGCTTCTGTGCACGTGTTTTCTTGTGGACAGACTGTAGGAAAAGAGCCCTTGACTGTCAGTTGAAAGGCTTCACGGGGACGAGCTCAGGCGATCACAGGGCCTAACAGGTAGCACTTTCTGAATGTCGCAGATTCCCAAGTTCATGTCCCTAGGAGGAGATGGTGTACAGAGTGATTGTGAAAGGACTCCAGAGCATCTCTTTTAAGACTTTATTTTTTTAGAGCAGTTTTAGGGTCACAGCAAAACTAAGAGGAAGGTATGGCGAGTTCCCATCTAGCCCTTCTCCCCGAGATGCACGCGGGGCTCCCCGCAACCAGCATCCCCCAGCAGAGCGGCACGTTTATCACAGTTGAGGGACCCTACACCGACACGTTGTCATCATCTCAGCCACACACACACCCCCCGCCCCCGTTTATTCCCACTCGGCGCTGTGCATTCTGTGGGCTTAAACAAAGGTCTCTAATAATACATGTCTCCCATTAGAGTGTCACCCGGAGGATTTTCACTGGCCTGAAAATCCTCTGCTTCTCAGCTTTTTTTCTTTTTAACCCTCGTGGTGCCCAGTTGCTCAGTTGTGTCTGACTCTTTGCAACCCCATGGACTGTAGCCCGCCAGCCTCCTCTGTCCATCGGATTCTCCAGGCAAGAATACTGGAGTGGGTTGCCATTGCCTTCTCCAGGGGGTCTTCCTGACCCAGGGATCAAACCCACGTCTCTTGCTTGGCAGGCAGATTCTTTACCACTGTGCCACCTAACACATCAATGTCAGAAAGTCCTCTTAACCCTTTCTTCCCCTGGTTATAAAACTTTCCAAAGTCATAGCATGGAAGCTTATGAAGGCTCTCCAGAGGGATATTTACAGGCTCTTTAAACATTTTTTTGTTAAAAGGATGATTTTGTCAAATGCACAGCTCCCTTCCAGGGGGGCTCAGCACCTTGTCTGTAGGGAGGACCTGGGACCCAAGCTCAGTAAAAGCTTCCACTTGTATAAGCTATGACCCCAGGAGTCCAGACTCTCTGCTTAGAAAGATGCTGTGCCTTGCTCTAAGGACTTTAGAGACTTAACCTTGAACCTTGAAATCACTCAGTCGTGTCCGACTCTTTGCGACCCCGTGGACTGTAGCCCACCAGGCTCCTCCGTCCATGGGATTCTCCAGGCAAGAATACTGAAGTGGATTGCCATTTCCTTCTCCAGGGGATCTTCCTGACCCAGGGATCGAACCCAGGTCTCCCGCATTGCAGGCAGACTCTTTAACCTCTGAGCCACCAGGGAAGCCCTCTAGAGACTTAGCCACGGCTCAGAATGAGGGCTCACAGATGAGAACACCTTGATTTCTCATACTGCTGTACACGTAAGCACTGGTTTTCACAAATGATAGTCATTCTGTTTGATTCTTATAATCATATTTGTCAAAGAGAGTCAGGATGAATTCTTGGGTAAACTCAACTGAGGTCCGTTGAAATGGAATTCTGCCTGTCTGATCCCTGGCACACCACTGTCAGAAAGACAGGACTTGGTTTCGCTGGATCTGATTTTGGTTTTCTGCTGGAGGAGTTCTGTTTTTTGAAATACCAGAGCATAAGACCTTTGCACGATAAGATGTTCTCTAAACATGTAGATTTCTTTACATCTCATGGTTCTTGTTCTTTTATAGGTTCTGATATTAAAGGAAATACCATCGTGCCCGAATCTGAAGTCTCAAATGCTTATGAAGACCAGTCCGTGTATTTTTTTGAGAAATACTCCAAGGATCTTTTAGTGGAGGTAAAGGAGCATTTCTGGAAAGGGGGTCCCAGTCAGGCCCTTCCTAACTGTGGTTTTCTGGTGGGGTTCCTTGTGGGACCTCAGAGTAGACATGGGGCCCGTTCCTTCATACGCAGTTGGGAAAAGTCCATGTGTGGTCATCCCCTGGAATCCACGGGACTGGTTCCAGCCCTTCCCCCACCCCCACCCTGTGGATACCAAAATCCACAGATGCTTAAGTCCCTCATATATATGACACAGCCTGGTGTTTGCATGTTACATATGCTCATCCTCTCGTGTACCTTAACTCATCTCTACATTACTTGTGATACCACCTCTAGATGAGTTGTGACATAAATGCTATGTAAATATGTTGCAGAACACAGTGTAAATGCTATATAAGTAAGTTGCCAGTGCCTGGCAAGCTCAAGTTTTGCCTTTGGGAACTTTCTGGAATTTTTTCTCCCCAAATATTTGCAATCTGTGGATGATTGAACCTGAGGATGCAAGACCCTTGGTGTGGAGGGCCACGGGTTCTCCTCTTGTGCCGTGTGACTGCTTTTACTTCTGCCCCAGAGTGTTCAACAACTAGAACAACCCGTAGTGTCACTCTGAGACTGGTGATTCTTTTTTTTTTTAATTGGAGGCTAATTACTTTACAATATTGTAGTGGTTTTTGGCATACATTGACATGAATCAGCCATGGGTGTACATGTGTTCCCCATCCTGACCCTCCCTCCCAACTCCCTCCGCATCCCATCCCTCTGGGTCATCCCCGGGCGCCAGCCCTGATGCATCAAACCTGGACTGGCGATCTGTTTCACATATGATAATATACATGTTTCAATGCTATTCTCCCAAATCATCCCACCCTTGCCTTCTCCCACAGAGTCCAAAAGTCTGTTCTTTACATCTGTGTCTCTTTTGAGAGACAGCTGATTCTTACGTAGGTTGATAAGGAGTCTGGGCCTCAAGGAGAAAGGGACAAACTTTTTTTTTTTCTACATTCCTTCATCTTAGTCACATAGACGTGTTTTTTGTTTTCTTAAACTCTTGAGTTGTTATGACAACAATCTATTTCTTCTAACTTTCTTTAAACCCAGAGCTAATGATTACACAGCAAAACAACTCATTTTGCTCAAGAGTATGTTTTTCCTTAAACTCTATACTAATGATTCTATAGCAACAGTGCATCCTGCTCAAGGACATGTTTCTCTTCCTTAAGAACCTTCTGACTCATCCTGTTATCTTAAGAGGTATGTTGAGGCAGTGGGTCTGGTAAGACCTTTCTACTGTTAGTAACCAACTGAAAAAGTATATAAAGCCCCACCCGAATTCCACCTGCTTCTGATGTCTATGTCAGAAGTGTTTCTCTGTCCACTAATAAAACTTTTGCCACATGAAGCTCTGAGTGACTGATGCCAAGTCTCTGGTCCCAAAGCAAAACCCTCTCCTTCGGAGATTCCGAATCCAACACCATTCACCATAAGCCCTCAACACTACACTGTATATAATACCCTAATGTGTGGCTTTTTTTTTTTTTTTTAATCAACATCAGGGTCTGGCTGAGATCCTGCACCAGAAGTTCGCGGACACCGACGTAGAGGAGCGCCACCACGGGTACCTGAAGCCTTTCCGCATCCTCGTCAGTCTGCTTGACAAGCCGGAAATAGGTAACACTAGACGTGCTTTACCGTCACGTGCCGAAGGAGGCTTCCCTGCTGAGAGGGAGGTATTATCGGTGACGTGCAATCACCCCATTGTTTGGTAGTGGTTTAGTTGCCCATCTGGGTCCGACTCTAGTGACCCTGTGGACTGCAGCCCGCCAGGCTCCTCCATCCATGGGATTCTCCAGGCAAGAACAGCGGAATGGGTTTTCATTGCCTCCTCCAGGGGATCTTTCCAACCCACGAATCGAACCCAGGTCTCCTGAAGGCAAGTCTCCTGCATTGCCAGCGGGAGCTACAAGGGAAGCCACCCTGTCGTTTAGAATACAGTTTAATCTTCGGAATTTCAGAATCTCGAGGGACTTCAGTCATGCTCTGTGCTTCAGTTTTCACTATTTGCTGCTGCTGCTAAGTCGCTTAGGTCATGCCCGACTCTCTGCAATCCCACGTTCTGTAGGATTGTAGCCCACCAGGCTCCTCTGTCCATGGGATTCTCCAGGAGAGAATCCTGGGGTGGGTTGCCATATCCATCTCCAGGGCATCTTCACAACCCACGGATCGAACACGGATCTCTCGCCTTTGCAGGCAGTCTCCTCTTAAATTTTTTGCACAATTCCTTGAATTTTTATTTTAGGAAAATGCCTCTGAGCTGTTGTGCTCACTGGCACACGTGCCTGCAAGGCACACACAGTACTGACTTCGTGAGACCGCATTTCAGTTAAGTGGCTTTGGTTGTATTCTCACGAAAACAGGGGACACGCCTCTGTCTTTTTGCCTTGGGAGCCCAGACCAGCTCCTTCTGCCGTGTAGGCCTCAGTCTTTTCCTCTGTCACATGAAGGAGGGTCTGATTTCGGCGAGACAGCAGTGAGTGGTAACTTGAAGCGAGATCTTAGACCCCTGCCCAGGAATTGAACCTGGGTATCCTGGATGAAAGCCAGGAATCTTGGCCAGTAGTCCTGCAAGGGCTAGAAGCGAGAAGCAAAACTCCACTGGCCCTTGCCGCCATTGAAAAATGCATTTGTCAAAGAGACAAAAGCTGTAAAAACAGGTACAAAGTGTATCATTAGAGACTCAGAACAATAAGCGGGAGAGCACGCAGAGAAACAGCTCGCTTAGTTAAGACAGAAGGAAGGAGAAAGAGGGCTTCCCCGATGTCTCAGTGGTAAAGAATCGCCTGCAATGCAGGAGATGCAGGAGACCGAGGTTCAGTCCCTGGGTTGGGAAGATCCCCTGTAGAAGGAAATGGCAATCCACTCTAGAATTTTTGCCTGGGAAATCCCACGGACAGAGGAGCCTGGTGGGCCACAGTCCAGGGGGTCGCAAAGAGTCGGGCACGAATGAGCGTGCACACGTCAGGTCCATCGGTAAGGCAGAGGAAGGGTGTTGGTGTCCCATCTCCTGAGGAGAGCAGTAGAGAGGTGTTTAAATCATCTGCATAGGGCAGTTCCTCTAGGTCTTTGTTTGCCTCTGGCCAGTTACCTGATTTCTTTTCCCACACCCGAAGAGCCTGAGGACCCTTCCCAACATGCATGTGCAACTTTTTCCCAAGATGGATTCTAGCCCAAAGGCCAGCAGGGGGAGGCTTAGCATTACATATTATGGGATGTATGGGGGTCCCCTCTTTTGACCCCCCCAAGCAGCCTTCTTGTGCTTGTTCTGTGTCCCCCTTGCCTCAAGGAGGGGAAATACATGAACTCATCATCCTTTATGCAAATGGAGTTCAGCCCCTCTGTCCCTGCCCACGGCTGTCTTAAAACAGGAAGGAAGCCTGGCTCTTTACCCTATTTCTGCTGTTATTCATATTTTGAAGTGCAAACAGGAGGCTGATGGTAAATATCCAGCCTCCAGCCCACCTGCCTCCTTTCCTCAAGAAATGTAAACAGGAGGCTGGTTGTAAACGCCCCGCCTGGAGCCCATCTGTCTCAGGCCTCAGGTTAAACTAGACTGTGGGTCGGGAAGGCTCCCCCTTTATGCAATGTGGTCCTCTGGGTGTCGGTCGGGGAAAGTGCTTGCTTTAAAAAAAAGAAAAGAAACTGCTCCAGTGTCCATTCATCCTGAGAAATCAGCATCTCATGCCTTGAACAGCGTCACTGGCCAGGAAAGCCCTTCTTCTGCCCTGGATTCAGTCTTGATGGTGTCCTCTGAGCCATCTGCTCAGGACAGCCCGCTGCCGAGGTGCTGTTTGCAGAGAACAGGAGCGGAGAGTGTTAGTGAAGTTCCTCTCCATCAGGCGTCAGGACGGGGACCTTTCCTTGATGCTTTCAGAGACGGGCATGGGGCATCTGTGCAGCAGGGGAGGTGCTAACCTCTAGGCAAATAAAGGGAGAAGTAGGCTTCTGGTCAAGTTAGACAGAAGGGAGACTGCGGTCCTAATGTGTCCTAACTGTTGTTAATAAAAACAGTGACATTTGGGGGGGCAATCATTTTGTGCATCATTAATATGTGTTGTTGTTCAGTCACTCAGTCGTGTCTCTTTGCGACCCCGTGGACTGCAGCACGCCAGGCTTCCCTGTCCATCACTATCTCCCAGAGTTTGGTCAGGCTCATGTCCATTGAGTCGGTGATGCCATCCAACCATCTCATCCACTGTCGTCCCCTTCTCTTCCTGCCTTCAGTCTTTCCCAGCATCAGGATCTTTTCCAATGAGTTGGCTTTTTGCATCAGGCAGCCAAAGTATTAGAGCTTCAGCATCAGTCCTTCCAATGAATATCCAGTGTTGATCTCCTTTAGGGTGGACTGGTTGGATCTCCTTGCAGTCCAAGGGACTCTCAAGAGTCTTCTCCAACACCTCAGTTCACAAGCATCAATTCTTCAGCACTCAGCCTTCTTTACGGTCCAGCTCTCACATCCATCCATCCCTGGCAGCTCAGACAGTAAAGAATCCGCCTGCAGTGCAGAAGACCCAGGTTTGACCCCTTGGTCTGGAAGATCCCTGGAGAAGGGAATGGCTACCCACTCCAGTATTTTTGCCTGAAGAATTCCATGGACAGAGGAGCCTGGCAGGCTACAGACCAACTCACAAAGAGTGGGACACGACTGAGCGACTAAACACATACATCATTAATATACATCCATGCATACGTCATACCTCCAAAAACCCTGAGTAACTTCTCTGAGTATACATATTCTGCAGATGGAGACTAGAGTGGAGCAAGTCTGAGTCATTTTCCAGGGCCCACCGAGGAGCTGGGACTGAAACTCTGGAGTCTGACTACATAGCCTGAGCTCTCTTTGTTAGGATGTTGCTCCTTACTTGATGACCTTCTGACGGCCCGTACCCGAGATGTTAACTCTTGTAACACAGATGAACTTAAGTTCATGACAGGTGCAGCTCTGGTTGCTCCTGACCAAATTCAAAGCATGAGGCTTGTGTCTCCAGGCTCCGACCTTGGAGATGGGTGTTTTATGTCAAGGCCTTGACCTGGGTCAAGTGAGTGTTGAACTAACTTGGGCTCCAGGTTGTATTTTCTGGAATGGGGTGAATGATGGGCTTCTGCCTCATCACAGAAGTTGAATTTGTCTCTCTGATAATTTAGTTTCCCATAGAAAGGCACACTTGAAGGGCAAAAGAGTGGATTGATAATGCAGACTGGAAGGCATAGGACGGTTAGTCTTACCTGTGCTTTGGCTACCTGGGTTTAGCCAGTTCCTCATTTCTTCTCCTTGAATGTCAACCACAGGCTTTGCTTCACTAGTAAAAACCACTTGGGTTGGGAAGATCCCTGGAGTAGGAAATGGCAGCCCACTCCAGTATTCTTGCCTGGAAAATTCCATGGTCAGAGAGGAGCCTGGCAGGCTATGGTGCAGGGGGTCACAAAGACCCAACAAGACTGAGCACACACACACACACACACACAGTCTTACGCTGTAGATAAAATACACCTGGGGCTTATCATGAGAAAGGGAGCATTTGTCTTTGGAAGCGTAAGAGATGAGACTATGTGCTTATTCTTTGTTGACAAAGCTTCTGTTTTCTCTGCCTCCTGCCATGTTCATTCCTCTGATTACAAGGGTGGGAAACCCTTCCCTTCCATCAGGCCTGCGGGTTGGTGCTCGAGGAGCAGACGTGTCCGGCCGCTTTCCACCTGCCTGTCTGGCGGGGTCCAGTGCTCCTGTGCCATCTTAAGCTTTTCTGGGTTGGTGATTATTTCTCTTGTGTCATGCTAGCTCATCGTTAAAAGTATTCAGAATAGGGAACCGCCCTACTCTGTTGGGGTTTACGTAGAGGGATTGTCTCTGGCCGCGCAGTTTCTGTGCTCTTAATATTCATGCCCTGCCTCCACCTGGGAGAAGCCACCTGGGCTAGTCACCCAGCCTCAGTAGCCTCATAATCAGGACATTATACCTGATTACATACCTGGTTCTTTGGTTCTTGTAAGGATTAAATAAGTTAATAGTTACAGAATGCTCACAATAGTGGCCAGTGCATAGTAAGCCCTACAAAAATGTTCCCTTGGACAGCAAAATCAAACCAGTCAATCCTAAGGGAAATGAACCCTGAATAATCATTGGAGGATCTAATGCTGAAGCTCTAATACTTTGGCCACCTGACACAAAGCACTGACTCACTGGAAAAGACTCTGATGCTGGGAAAGATTGAGGGGAGGAGAAGGGGGCAACAAGAGGATAAGATGGTTGTTTGGCATCATCGACTCAATGGACATAAGTTGGAGCAAACTCCAGAAGATAGTAAAGGACAGGGTAGCCTGGTGTGCTGCAGTCCATGGGGTCACAAAGAGTCGGACATGACTGAGCGACTGAACAACAAAAATGGTGACTGTCTTCATGGATGTTATTCCCCCAACTAAAGTTGTGATTTTCACAACCAAAGTTAAGTTTCTGTACATTTAAAACTGTATAAATTGTCTATGTATATAGCATTACTCATGATGTATTTTACACATTTGTCATTTATTGGTTGAAAAATGGATTTTTTAAAAAATATTGATGTTTTATTTCTTATTCATTCATTCATTTGGCCATTTTCTTTTTAATTGCAGGGCCTCAAGTTGTTGAGAATTTGTTTCTTGAAGTCATCCGAGCGTTTTATTCTTACTGCAGAGATGCTCTTGGCTCTGATCTTAAACTTAGCTACACTCAGAGTGGAAATTCGGTGATAAGGTAGGGGTGTGGCTTTCAAATTCACTCTTCCTCCCTCCCTAATGCGTTTTTTTGTTTGCCATAAATTGTGATGTGATGAGACAGTGGAGATGTAGCAGGTCAAGTCACTCCTTAAGATAACTTTTGCTCTTACATCGGTCAACCTGAATCGACTTTTCCCTGATGAATACTGAGAAGGTCACAAGGAGTTTGATCTTGTCTCTGCCCCAACCTCGGCAGTACAGACTGTGTTTTTGGCAGAGTGTGAAAAGTTGCTCAACAAAGGCAGCTGGGTCTAGAACACAGTGTGAGTTACCGGGAGGAGGGCGGGCGGGAGGTGGGGTCGGGAAGTGGGGCCGGTGGGTGTGTCTTCAGGAGACAAGTCAGAGGGCAAGGGGGGCCCCGGGGGCTCGAGCTCCAGGACCCGAAGGCACAGCGAGTGGGGTTTGGGAGACAGCAGACAAGGCGGTAACTTACACAGCGTGTAGTTATCAGTCAGCCCTGTGTCTTGCTCTGTTTTTGTTCTTTTCAAGGTAGTGTGTGTGCTAAGTCGCTTCAGTCGTGGCCGACTCTTCGCAGCCCCACGGACTGCAGCCCGCCAGGCTCCTCTGTCCATGGGGTTCTCCAGCCAAGAACACTGGAGTGGGTGGCCACGCCCTCCAGGGGATCTTCCTGACCCAGGGATTGAACCCTTGTCTCCTGCCTCTTCCTTTTCCCTTTATTCTTAATGTAATTTCCTTTCCCCGACTTGGCGTTGGTCTGCTGAAGATTTAGGGTTTCCCAGGTGGCTCAGTGGGGAAGAACCTGCCTGCCGATGCAGGAGAGAAAGGTCCCGTCCCTGAGTGGGGAAGGCCCCCTGGAGGAGGGTATGGCAGTCCACTCCAGTACTCTTGCCTGGAGAATGCCAGGGACAGAGGAGCCTGGCGGGCTACAGTCCATAGCGTCGCCAAGAGTCAGACAGAACTGAATGCACACACACACACAAGTATTGAAAATTGAAATCTGTTAGATTTTTCTGGTTATTAACTGTAAGTATACCAAGAGTCTTTTGTGTTTGTTTTTTCCTCACAGAATGAGTGTAGTTTACTGTTTTCCTGAATATGAAAGTAATACATGTTCATGGTAGACTGTACCAATATTTGAAAGTGTCGAGAAAAAAAGATACCATCCATAATCCCACCGCCCTTCTGAGAAAAACATAGAACATTCCAGACTTTCAATGCATGAGTATATAGGCGCCTATCTTTTCTTTTTAAGCTGAAGTTACAGTAACTGTTCAGTTGCCTGTTTATCTTTTTTAATGCAATTTTTTTTCATTTATTTTTATTAGTTGGAGGCTAATTACTTTACAATATTGTAGTGGTTTTTGTCATACATTGCCATGAATCAGCCATGTTTTTAATGCAATTTATGACTGGCGGTATAGTCTTCTCGTATGGAGGATAATGGTTGCCTTAGAGTCCTTGGTAAGGCGCTATCACTTACTTAAGAAATCCTGACTAACTGATCAATCTCTAATTGACTTTTGGGTGGTTTCTACTTTTTCAGTATTTTATAAAGACATTCTCATAATACCCTTGTGTGCTTGTACAAGGGTTTCTGTAGCATAAATCCCTAGAATGAATTCCCTGAGTTATAGAAGATGTGCATTTAAATGTTAGCCAAATTTCTCTTCCAAACGGCTGTACTATGTTATTTTACCAGTAGAGTATGTAATTACCAATAGTTGGACTGAAGCTGGTTTTCCATATCACATTCTTTTTTCAGTAGCTCTTAAGCTTACTTCTGAGGGAATATATCAATATAAATACTGTTTAGGATGGCACGTGCTTGCTCTTCCCTATATAACAACAGTAATATTTTATTTATGACCCCGTCTGTCAGCCTCTCCAGAAATAAGTCATGAAAGATTGAAATGGGTTTATTCACACACTGCACCCCAGGTGAATGAATGGCACAGTGAATTTGCACTGTTCAGACATGGTATTCCCATAATACAGGACTGGTCATAGATATATTCATAAGCATCCTTCTTCCTTTGCAGTGCAATAAAGGAAAACAGGAACGCCTCTGAGATCGTTAAAACAGTGAATTTGCTGATCACATCCCTGAGCTCAGACTTCCTCTGGGATTACATGACAAGGTGTTTCCAGGACTGTTTCAGGTAAGCCTCCAGGTCAGGCTTTATAAACATGTGGGAAGGAATTGAGGCTGTCGTGAATTTTCATAGCTGCTCATTGTGGTCAGGTTATACTCAACGGCTAACACTGGGATGATCACTGCTGAGTACATGATTGGATTCACTTAAACTCATAATAGAATTAAGAACGTTGCCATTGAGACGGTTCACATGATGCTAGTGCTTCCTTATTAAAGTCAAACTTTAGAAACAAACCCATGCATTTCCTGGTTGGCGTCAATCTAATCCGGTTTCTTCCCACGGTGCCCTTAGAGGCCTGATCTATCCAACAAGCTTGGTTTTGGGGCCCAGGGACTGGAGAGAGAGTGTTTTTTAAATCATCAGTCATCTTAAATTCTTCCTGAAATCAGCGTATAACTGTTCAGATGAAAGTATTTATGTTCTGAGCTGCCGCAATCAGCTTTCCCGTCACTTTCAATCAATCTGGTGTATTGCACCGACTCCAAACTGTGGGACGGTGGCCAGCTTGGGACTGCAAGCTTCCCCTCAGGGCCCTTTCCCGGGAGATTTTCCCTGTAAAGGAGGACGGGTGTAATCTCTCAGACCCAGTTCTGTCCTGTGATTCATGCTATAGAACTGAATTCCCGTCACCCCTTTGGAACAGCCTGCGCTGTCACACTGACTTCCATACCTGCAGCTGTAATCAAAGCGTAACTTACTAACGTTGGTCTCAGGCCATCCCCTGCATACACCCCCAGGAGAAGGAGGCTCATCCATCATGCAGGAGAGCCCGAGATCAGAGACGTGACGGGTCCCGTGTGACACAGCACAGCAGATCAGTAGCAGCTGAGCCTGGAACCAGGCCTGCCTGCCTGACATCCCAGCTGCTCCTGCCGTGGCCTCGCCGCTTCTGGCGCCAGACCCAGCAGGCGCTCCAATCTGCGATGAATAAATTACTTGTAATTGGATCCACGGTGACAGCAAGGCCATGTTATACTGAGACCAGAGTGTGTTTTGGTCAGCTTAGTTCCATTTCAGAGTTACGAGGAACACTTTCTTTAAAAAAGAAAATTAACTATGAAACACTTCAGGCGCAGGAAAAGATGGGAAATAATGTCAGACACACTTGAACCCATTGCTAAAACCGTGGACAGTATTTGACTTTTGGTTTTCACATTTTTTTTTAAAGGAATAAAACGTTACCACCCAGACAGAGCTAACCCCTTACATTCCCACTGGCTTCCCTCCTTTCATCCCAGCTTTAATCACTGTCCTGAAGTTCATGTCTGTCCCAGTGATGTCTGTGCTTTTATAACAAAGATAAAAAAAGTATCCAGTATAAAAACAAGTATCCAGAAATGATACAGTCTGTTTTGCCTCTTCAAGTTTTACATCAATGGTATCAAATTGTATATAACTTTTCACCCCTGTGTGTTTGGTTGGGAGGTGGGAGTCAAAGCCCTCTGGAGATTTATCTGTGTGGTAACTTACACACCTAGTCGGTTTACCTTGGGTGCAGTCATCCAGCGTGTGAATAAACCAGTTTCAGTCTTTTAATCACTGCAGGTCATACCCTGCTGACCGCACTGATCCCATCTCTACATGCAGACGTGGGGGTCTGTTTAGAATAGGCACCTAGGAGCAGACTTTCCTGGACCTAGAGAATGCAGTTCTTCCATTCCTTACCCAGATAAACACTGACATACCTAAGCAATCATTTACAGGGAAGAAAGTTAACTCAGGTCGAACTATACTGTGATAGCAAGATGAATCCAAAATTTGTTGTTTTGAGAACCAATATATTGATTTTTTAACTTAGGGATCCAGTTGCCTACTTACTGAAAAGGAAGTGTCGCGTTTGAGAATAAGATAAGCAGCTGCCAATAGAGTTCCCCAGTGGAGTAGCAGTTCTTTGGGAGCTGAGGAATTCTAGGCTCATGGGGATGACGCAGGGTTGGGGCGGGTGGGGATGACGCAGGGTTGGGGCGGGTGGGGGCGCTATCTCCGGTTGCTCCCACAGCAAATCGAAGAGCTGTCCTGCATTCTGTAGCCAGGCTCCTTCCCTGGGAACACGCCTTTGGTTTCGGGCTGCAGACCTGGAATTGTTGCTGTTGACAGCTTGAGATCAGATGGATATGGAATCCCATGGGGGCATGGACCACCCTCGGCTGCTATGATAAAGTTCAAGTCAGAGTCAACCTGTTTCAGAGATAATCAGATTCAAGACTTACTGACGCTTCTGCGTCAGATCATTTTCGGCATCAAGGCTGAATTATTAGACCTACAGAAGCTGTCTTTCAGTGTGGTTGAAATAGAACAAATAACTTTATTGGAAATCATAGGAATTGCTTGACAGTATTACAGGAGAGTGGCTTTTCTTTCCTATGGCTCACGCAGAACCACGAAGCGGAATCCCAATGTTGGGAGAAGCATCGGCCCTCCCCCGACGGTCTCAGAGCTCTGCACCCTCCTCATGTTCCTTCTGGACGTGATTCCCCTGGTAAGTCCTTTGCTCTCAAAAGATGGCTCTGTGTTGGCTGTCGTATACATTCTTATTTGTGGTGTTGGTCTTTTTCTAAACCTCATCTTACCAAGGGACTTCTCTCATATAGCTCAGTCGGTAAAGAATCTCCCTACAATGCGGGAGATCTGGGTTCGATCCCTGGGTCGGGAAGATCCTCTGGAAAAGGGAATGGTAACCCACTCCAGTATTCTTGCCTGGAGAATCCCCACGGACAGAGGAGCCTGGCAGGCTATAGTCCCTGGGGTCTCAAAGAGTCAGACACAACTTAGTGACTAAACCACCACCACCCCACCATCTCACTGAAGAAGTGGTTGTAAATAGACACATAGCACTTTTAATGTTTGTTTCAGCATGGAAGATGTGATCTCATATCTTTTAGGCCCTTGTGATATAAGGGGTTATAACTCTTCAGCCAGTGGTAAGTGGGCTGAGCTGAAGTTACAGAGAACAGATAAGGAGCTGGGTGGCATCCTTGGACAGCAATTATTTAGGAATGAGTATGATGTATAGATAGTTAGAATGAAAGTCTGACTCTTTGCGACCCCATGGACTGTACCCTGCCAGGCTCCTCTGTGCATGGGATTCTCCAGGCAAGAACGCTGGAGTGGGTAGCCTTTCCCTTCTCCAGGGGATCTTCCCCACCCAGGTCTCCCGCATTGCAGGTGGATTCTTTACCATCTGAGCCACCAGGGAAGAATTGTTATTCCTTTTTTAAAAAAAAATGTTGGTCCCGCTGCCCCGGCACATTTGTTCTCTGACCAGAGATCAAACCCTCACCCCCTGCGTTTGGAAGCATGGAGTTTTAACCACTGGACCCCCAGGGAAGTCCCAGAAAGTAAACATATTTCTTAAAGTTGCATCCTTGGCTAATTTTCTCCAAGGAAACAGATTCCCTTAATAGAGACATGAATTTGGCAGTCATTTTCTACTAGAAAGAGGGAAGTCACTTGAAAGGAGAGAATGTCCATGGATGTATTTAGATCAAGAAGAAATACTATTTTGTTTTCCGACTTGGAAAAAAACATGGAACAAACTTACGCTCAAAAAACACTTGTGTTTTCTAAGGCGCTGCTTGCTGCTGATGACACGAGTTAAACCCACGTCTGTTTCACAGGAACTTTACTCAGAGGTGCAAACCCAGTACCTCCCACAGGTGCTTGGCTGCCTGCTGCAGCCTCTGGCTGAGGAGATGGAGATGCTGAGCTTGTCCGAGCTCACACACGCCCTGAGGACCTGTTTCAAAGTGCTCAGCAAGGTCCAAATGCCGCCTTCCTACCTGGACACAGAGCCCACGAGTGGGAGCTTGGTACGTGCTGGGAGGAGCCGGTGTGGTTTTTCCTGGCTGACGGGCCCTTTGGCCTCCCTGGGTAGGAATAAAGGCTAGAAGACGTATCGGTAATATCCAAAACGTGCTTCTAAGAGCCTCATACGCTTCATGAAAGCTTGTCATGTTGAAGTAACCCCGTTCATTTCACCCTCTGCCCTGCTGTCTTTCGGCTGAAGCCCACTACTAAGCTAATGGTTACACACAGCTCACCATCTCAACCTTTCTATGTGCATGTTTGTATATGAGGAGTTTTGCCTTTTTTTTTTTTTTTAAGTACAAGTGAGATGGTAGTCCCTGGGGCTGCAGTAAAAAAGTGCCACGCTGGGTGACAGAACAGCAGAAAGTTCCCGTGTCACAGCTCCGGAGGCCAGATGTCCGAGGCTAAGGTGTCAGGGTGGTTCCTTCTAGGCTATGAGGGAGTGTCTGTTCCGTGCATCGCCCCTGTCTTCTGATGTTCCTGGCGTTCCTTGACTTGTAGACCCGCCGCCCCAGTCTCAGCCTCCGCCTTCACATATCTCCCCCATGTGCATATCTGTGTGTGTCCAGATTTCATCTTTTTGTAAGGACACCCATCATACTGGATTAGGACCCACCCTAATGACCTCACTGCACTTGGTCATCTGCAAGGACCCTAATTCCAAATAAGATCCCAGTCACAGATACTGGTGTCAGGACTTCAGCACTTTTTTTTTTCTTAAGGGAACATAATTCAACCTATAACAGACATTATTTCTCTGATTTGCTTTGGTTTTCATCCAAACACTCCTCGGAGAGCATCTGTATCTGTATACAGACAGAGGTATCTTGCTGGTTTCACTGTTTCTTCAACCATTCCCCTATCGAGGTTGTCTTTGTTTTTGTTTTTTTCAGTTATTTCTAGCTTTTCACTGCTACAGTGCTGCTGTCAACATCTTCATACAACCTGCTCTCAGGGCTGACAGTGTCTCTGAGGAATCAGTTCCTAGAAGTGGGAATCAAGCCCATTTCTTAATGTGAAGAGATGCCGCCAAACTGTCCTCCAAAAAGACTATAACAATACGGTTCCACGAGCAGCTTGAGGCCCATGGTCTTTGAATTATTTTTTATATTCTGCTTTGTTCAGGGATTTGAAAGTTCTCCCTTGAGAGCCATTCGGTGCAGTGGCAGATAGGAACAGGCTAAAAAAGGAAAGCTTTCCTGAAAGGAGGGTGGCTTCCCTGGTGGCTCAGAGGGTAAAGTGTCTGCCTGCAGTGTGGGAGACCTGGGTTCAGTCCCTGAGTCGGGAAGTTCCCCTGGAGAAGGAAATGGCAACCCACTCCAGTACTCTCTTGCATGGAAAATCCCATGGACTGTAGCCTATCAGGCTCCTCAGTCCATGGGGCTGCAAAGAGTTGGACACGACTGACTGAGCAACTTCACTTTTTCCTTTTCCTGAAAGGAGAGCCATGCGTGTTGGTTAGTGCTGGGAGGCAGGTGGGCTGCCTGTGGGGCTTGAAGCTCAGCTTGCAGAGTAGTTACCGGTTCTTCCTTCCCTCTCAAAGCTAGTTTTTTTCTTCCCCTAGCTGTTACAGCTGTTGGAAAAATCCTAAAAAGGATGTAAACTGTAAAGTACAAGCATGTGTCCTGTACAAATATACATAACAATGTTTCCAAACATTTACATAATACTGTATCATTCTTCCCCAGAGAGTGGGTCAGGTGATGATAAGTTTTCAGTTTAATGTAGTATTCCCTGAGTAACAGCATGTAAGAGGTTGATTCATTGAAGTGTCATCCTTTTGAAAAAGCCACAGAATGTATGTACATGTGTGTGTGTGAGTCATGTATGTGGTTAATATTTTGTTATTGCTGTCTCTTATTCATTCCTTTATGCCTGTATTTTATGCTCAACCCAGTTTCCTCGTTCGTATTCTTAAATGTCATAAACTTTTTTTTCACTTCATTTTGCTTTCTTAAAATTTGGCTATTTCACGTTGGAGTACTGTGCTCAGTCGTTCAGTCGTGTCCGACTCTTTGCGACCCCATGAATCGCAGCACGCCAGGCCTCCCTGTCCATCACCAACTCCCGGAGTTTACTCAAACTGATGTCCATTGAGTTGGTGATGCCATCCAACCATCTCATCCTCTGTTGTCCCCTTCTCCTCCTGCCCCCAATCCTTCCCAGCATCAGGGTCTTTTCCAATGAGTCAACTCTTCGCATGAGGTGGCCAAAGTACTGGAATTTCAGCTTCAGCGTCAGTCCTTCCAATGAACACCTAGGACTGATCTCCTTTAGGATGGACTGGTTGGATCTCCTTGCAGTCCAAGGGACTCTCCAGAGTCTTCTCCAACACCACAGTTCAAAAGCATCAATTCTTTGGCACTCAGCTTTCTTCACAGTCCAGCTCTCACATCCATACACGACCACTGGAAAAACCATAGTCTTGACCAGACGGACCTTTGTTGGCAAAGTAATGTCTCTGCTTTTTAATATGCTATCTAGGTTGGTCATAACTTTCCTTCCAAGGAGGAAGCGTCTTTTAATTTCATGGCTGCAATCACCATCCGCAGTGATATTGGAGCCCCCAAAAATAAAGTCTGACATTGCTTCCACTGTCTCCCCATCGATTTCCCATGAAGTGATGGGACTGGGTGCCATGATCTTAGTTTTCTGAATGTTGAGCTTTAAGCCAACTTTTTCACTCTCCTCTTTCACTTTCATCAAGAGGCTCTTTAGTTCTTCACTTCTGCCATAAGGGTGGTGTCATCTGCATTTCTTCATGTCCATGCTTCTGTGTGGTCTGTCACAGCCGGTGCGTTTGGCCCCCCAGGCCCACATAATTCTCCAGGCAGTGCTACTGCAGGCAGGTGCCGTTTTCTCCTCTGGGGTATCTTCCCCACCCAGGGATGGAACCTGCGTCTCTTGCACTGGCAGGCCGATTCTTGACCCCTAGAGCCCCCTGGGAAGCCTGTAGTGGAGGAGAGCCGATGAACAGGGTTGTGATAGTTTCAGGTGCACAACAGAGTGACCCGGCTGTCCACACACGTGCATCCTTCCTCCCCAACTCCCCGCCCGTCCCGGCTGCCACGTGACACTGAGCAGCGTTCCCTGTGCCGTACAGTGGGTCCCTGCTGGCAGAAACTGTTTTTAAATAACCAACCTTTTTGGATTCTGAAGGGTCTGAATAACTAGTATGAAGAGGGCCATCTGATGATACACATGGAGATCCTCTTGGCGTGGAAAACTGTGGTCTCAGGGAGGATGCATTCATAGCTTGATTCCCTTGATGTTTGAACCCCTCGGTCTTACAAGATCCACGATACAGACTTCCTTTTTCTTTTTTTTGCAGAGTCCAGTCAGAGGTGAAAACACCGAAGTGATTGCCAACACAGATGCAGTGCCCCTGGGCGACGAAGACGCACCGTTTCCCCCGCTGAAATCAGAAGACAGCGGCATCGGGCTGAGCGCCTCGTCGCCCGAGCTCTCGGAGCACTTGCGGGTGCCCCGGGTTTCCCCGGACAAAGATGACGTCTGGAAGAAGGGTGGGAGCATGCAGAAGACGTTCCTTTGCATCCAGGAGCTGATCGCCACCTTCGCGCACAAGAACATTTTCGGGGCGCAGCTGACGGCGTCCGGGGAAGAGGCCAAGTCAGCGGAGGAGCCTGCGGGCCGGCCCCTGGGCGGCGTGCCCCAGTTCAAGCAGATGCTCTCTGACCTCTTCACTGCCCGAGGGTCCCCCTTCAAGGCCAGGAGTGTGGAGCTGCCCTCACCCCCGCCCCACAGCCCTGGCCGCAAGAAGGACGAGGGGTGGGCCGTGGACCAGGTGGTCCTTGACCTGGGGGGCTCCCGGGAGGGCGTCCGGGAGGCCTTCGCGGCCGCCTGCCACCTGCTGCTGGAGTGCGCCACCTTCCCCGTGTACCTGTCCGAGGAGGAGACGGAGCGGCTCTGTGAGGTCCTCTTCCAGCCTCCGGGTGAGGGGCGCCCCGGGAGCCTGCCGGGAGGGGTCGGGGAGCCCCGGGCCCCTGAGGGTTATAGAGGAGTTAAAATTTCACAGCGACTGAGAGGGCGCTGTCTGCCCACCCCCATTTTCCTTCCTTGTTTCGTAGTTACTGTGTACGGTTTGGCTTTGTCTTTACCAGACGGAAACCGAAGGAAGCTCCCTCTGTATCTTTACAATTCCTTCTTTTTTTTTTGGCTGCACCCCATGGCATGTGGGATCTTCCCTGTAGTTAGTTCAGACGGTAAAGAATCTGCCTCCAATTCAGGAGACCTGGGTTTGATCCCTGGGTTGGGGTGATCCTCTGGAGAAGGGATCATCCACTCCAGTAGTGTTGCCTGGAGAATCCCCATGGACAGAGGAGCCTGGCGGGTCACAGTCCATGGGGTCACAAAGAGTCGGACACGACTGAGCGACCAACACTACACTACGTGGCATGTGACATCTTAGTTCCCTCACCAGGTATTGAACCCACGCCTGCAATGGAAGCGCAGAATCTTAACCCCTGGACCACCAAGGAAGCCCCTGGGTCTGTATTTTTTAACCTTTGGGTGCCCAGCACAGCCTGTTAAAAGGTCTGAGACATAAAAGGAGCCTCACCCTAGTCAGTACATAGACTGTTTCGTGAGACCTGTTACTAAAGCTTTATGTGTTGTGTGCCAGGGCTCCCATAACAAAGTACCACCCACTGAGCGGCTTAAACCACAGAAATGTGTTGTCTCACGGTCTGGAGGCCAGAAGTCTGAGGTCAGCGTGTTGGCAGGGCCGCACTCCCTCTGAAGGTGCTTCAGAAGGGTGTGTTCCGGCCACTCCTCCAGCCTCTGGTGGTTCCTAGGCCGGTGGGAACCCAGCCCTCATCTTTCCATGGCATTCTTCCCTTTTACGTGTCCGTGTTCCAGTTTCCCTTCTCTAAGGTGCCCATTCGGCTTCCCAGGCGGCGCTAGTGGTAAAGAACCCGCCTGCCAATGCAGGAGACATAGGAAGCATGGGTTCAATTCCTGGGTGAGAAAGATCCCCTGGAGAAGAGCATGGCAGCCCACTCCAGCCTTCTTGCCTGGAGAATCCCATGGGCAGAGGAGCCTGGTGGACTGCAGTCCGTAGAGTTGCAAAGAGTCAGACACGGCTGAAGCGACTTAGCACGCATGCACTCAGGGCACCCGTTATATTGGATTATACCCACTCCTTCTCTACCAGGGCCTGTTTTAAGTCATTACGTCTGCGACCAGTTTCCCAAGAGGGTCGTTCTCAGGTCCTACGGGTTTATAAACTTCAACATAAGAATTTCTGTGAGGACGCAGTTTAAACTGTTACCGGCAGCACGTTAAGCCCAGGCTGCCACAACAATATACCATAGGCTGGGGGACGCTTAAACCACAGAAATGTGTTTTCTCACAGTTTTGGGTCTAGAAGTTCGAGATCAGGGTGCCAGCATGGTCAGCGTCTGGTGAGATCTCGTCCGTGTGTTACACACTGCCACCTTCTCACATGTTCACATCCTGGGACATGTGTGGGGGGTGTAGGGGGTCTTTCTGGTGTCTTCTAATAAGGGCTCCAATCCCATCATGTCGGCCACCCCTCAGGACCTCATCTAGACCCAGGCACCCCCTCCAAATACTGTTACCCTGGGGAGCTGGGGCATTTGCATGTGAATTTTGAGCACATGCGGTTGAGTCCATTGCAGGCAGTGAAGACTTTAAAGAAAAAAGGATCAAGGGGAAGGTGTAAGAAAAGAAGAGTGATTAAGTTGGTAGGAGCTGAGGGTGAAGATTTCCCCTCTCATTATCACCTTTATTAAACATTCCATGCAATGTGTCTCTTGACTCCAGAGCTGCAGATGACAGTATACTTGGAAGAAATGCATTTAGAATTGATATCTTCATTATATTTTTAGCCTCTTGTAAAGCTAATGCCATGTGCCCTACCACCAAGAGAACTCTGAAAACACGTTGGAGCTCTGCACCAACAAGTGTAACTTTTACTATATGTAAATTTTACAAGTATTTTCATTCAGGTTTTACTGTGTTTACATTTTGTGTCTGTGTGTGGCTGTATTGGGTCTTTGTTGCGGTGCATGGGCCTTTCATTGCTGCTCAAGGGCTTTCTCTAGCTGTGGTGAGCAGGGGCTACCCTCTAGTTGTGGCGTGCAGGCTTCTAGTTGCGGTGGCGTCTCTTGTTGCAGAGCACAGGCTCCAGGGCGCGAAGGCTTCGGTCATTGTAGGGTATAGGTTTAGTTGTCTCAAGGCGTGTGGGATCTTCGCAGACCAGGGATCCAACCCGTGTCCCCTGCGCCGCAGGCAGATTCTCAACCACTGGACCACCGGGAAAGTTCCGTCACTGACAAAATTTTTAAACAAGAGAAGCATGTTTTGAATCATCTCAAAGCCCCGAGAGTGACATTTGCGGAACTTGAACAGTCTGTTAGCACATGACTTTGGTCTCATCGGGCCCCTGGCCCTGAATGGGGACAGTGGACTGTGTCACCACCGGGAGGTTATCACACTGCTGTGCAGGTGGCCTCCCGGATCGGAAGGTCTTAGAGGCCGCTGGCTAGTGAGCCAGTCTCGGGAGGTTTGTGTGTGTCTTCATCCTCTCCGGTTGTCATCCTTTCAGCAGCGGGCGATTCCGGTTTTCCACCTTGGCTGAAGTCCCTGATGACCATCTGCTGCTGTGTAACTGACTGCTACCTCCAGAACGTGGCCATCTCCACCCTGCTCGAAGTGATCAACCACTCCCAGTCCCTCGCCCTCGTCATCGAAGACAAGATGAAACGCTATAAAAGCTCCGGATACAACCCATTTTTCGGCAAGCTGCAGATGGTGACGGTTCCTCCCATAGCTCCAGGAATACTGAAAGTCATTGCAGAGAAAACAGACTTCTATCAGGTATTTCCCACCGGGAAGAGGAAGGCTGGGACCCTGAGACCTTTGTAGACTCTTTCTTTGAGGTTGTCCCTGAAGTTTTGGGGGGGGGTGGGTGGATGTGTGTGTGTGTGTGTGTGTGTGTGTGTGTGTGCACATGTATGCATTCAGTTGCCTAGTCATGTCTGACTCTTTGTGACTCCATGGACTGTAGCCCACCAGGCTCCTCTGTCCATGGAATTCTCCAGGCAAGAAGCCTGGAATGGGTTGACATTTCCTTCTCCAGGGGATCTTCCCAACCCAGGGATTGAACCTGTTATGTCTTGCATCTCCAGCATTGACAGGCAGATTCTTTACCACTGCGCCACCTGGGAAGGCCTAAGGTTTTGGTGGTGATGACAAAGAATATGGTGCCTTGCGTAGCAGCCAGAGCAGGTGGCTGGAGACCTGGGGCTGCTTTGTCTGTCTCTAACCCCAGCTCCTCGGAGAAGGCAATGGCACCCCACTCCAGTACTCTTGCCTGGAAAATCCCATGGGTGGAGGAGCCTGGTAGACTGCACTCCATGAGGTCGCTAAGAGTCGGACACAACTGAGCGACTTCACTTTCACTGTTCACTTTCACACATTGGAGAAGGAAATGGCAACCCACTCCAGCGTTCTTGTCTGGAGAATCCCAGGGATGGCGGAGCCTGGTGGGCTGCCATCTATGGGGTCGCACAGAGTCGGCCACGACTGAAGAGACTTAGCAGCAACCCCAGCTCCTGGCAGTTTCTGGCCCCGCAGCAAGTGTTCAGTAATATTTGTGTTCAGTTTTAGGCTGACTTACTCCATAAGTAAGAATTGCTAACTTATCTAAATACACAGAAAAAGAAACTCTGTCCCACTTTGTGAGATTTGAGGCTTTGAGGTTATTTAGCCTCAAGGAAAACTTCAGTTGTTCAGTCATGTCCGACTCTTTGCGACCCCATGGACTGCAGCACGCTAGGACTCCCTGTCCATCGCCATCTCCCGGAGTTTACTCAAACTCATGTCCATTGAGTCGGTGATGCCATCCAACCATCTCACCCTCTGTCATCCCTTCTCCTCCTGCCTTCAATCTTTCCCAGCACCAGGGTCTTTTCAAATGAGTCATTTCTTCGCATCAGGTGGCCAAAGTATTGGAGTTTCAGCTTCAACATCAGTTCTTTCAATGAACATTCAGGACTGATTTCCTTTAGGATGGACTGGTTGGATCTCCTTGCAGTCCAAGGGACTCTCAAGAGTCTTCTCCGACACCACAGTTCAAAAGCATCAATTCTTCAGCACTCATCTTTCTTTATAATCCACTCTCATATCCATACATGACTCCTGGAAAAACCATAGCTTTGACTAGATGGACCTTTGTTGGAAAAGTAATGTCTCTGCTAAGAGCTTGCTCTAATTCATGTCCATTAAGTTGGTGATGCCCTCCAACCATCTCTTCCTCTTAGGAAAGCTTAGTACTTGTCAAATGTGAGAAAGATTATTGCTGAAGATGGCGAACAGTTGTTGTCCATCTTCCTTGGGGACAGAGTAAGAAAAGGTATTATAGGGCTCAATCAACTGCAAGAAGCTGAAAGCTATTCCAGCTAGCTCATGAAAAAACAAAACAAAACTGAGGTTTATTATAAAGATGGAGCCCATGCAAGGCCAGGGTTGGGAGTGGAATGCCGCTGGCTCTCACAGGCCTCACCTGGGGAGCTGTCAGGGCCCAAGGCTGCTTCCTCTCCACGTCTCCCTGCCAGCCAGGACCTAACCTGCTTGTCACTTGACCTTCAGTCAGCCTCAGGACCCTCAAGCTTGGTTGTCAGAGCTAATGACACTGGCATCTCTTTCACAGTTCTGAGCTAGCCTTTCAAGGCTCTTAAATAGGCAGTCAGCAGGGCACGCCTGGGTCAGGCGGCTTCTGCTGTCCAGTCCACCACAACAGTGATCCAGGCCAGGGCAGAGTGGTCATGCGGTGTAGACAGGGACAGGGTCACTCACCAGGGCCTCCCAGGGGACACGTTTCCCCTGAGGGGAGGAGGGGCGCCAAATGCCCTGCAAACTCGGAGACCCTGAGGAGGAGAGATTCTCGATGCTTCATGTGAGGTGCGGGAAGTAAACTCTCCTTTGAGGACTTGACAGCCCATCGTCTGAATGGCTGTTGAAGTGGGCTAGCTTTTTACCTATTGGGTTGACCCCTCCCCAAGCAAGTCATGTAGCTGAAGCCATCTCCAGCTTGGTTCTGCCCTCTCCCCCCACCTTTTTTTTTTAATTTATCTGGCTGTGCCGGGTCTTAGTTGCCGCATATAGGATCTACTTTCCTAACCAGGGATCAAACCTGGGGCTCCCCTGCATTGGGAGTGTGGAGGCTTAGCCACTGGAGCACCAGGGAAGTTCCTTTTTTTTTTTTTGTTAACAGCATTATTTAGATATAACTCACCCAGTTCAAGTACACAATTCAGTGGTTTTTACTATATTCATAGAAATATACCATTTTCCTTGTTTTCTATATGTGATTTCTTTTTTTCCCCACCTGTTTCCCCTTTTTTATGTTCTTTTTCTTTAAGTGCTCTTTTCCAGTGCAAAATGTTCTAATCTCCTTAATGGTTTTTTTTCAATGTATTTTTGGAGTTATTTTTTTTTAGCGGTTAGTACTCTTAAGGTTTACCGCATGCATCTTACCAGAATTGACTTCACTTCCATTCTGAATTCCTGTGAGTTGTAGAATTCCTGTGACTGGCAGGCTGCAGTCCATGGGGTCGCAAAGAGTCAGACATGACTGACTGACTTAACCCTTTTTCACCTCTTGAATAGCTCTGTTCCTCTTCCCTTTCTTGTGCTGTTGTTATTATGCATAGTACATCTAGGTATGTTATAAACTGAACAAGATGTGGTTGTATAATCTTATGATATTTTAAGAACTTGGTAAAGGAAAGGAAAACAAGTATGTATTCATAGAGTTTGGTTGTTCAGTTGTGTCCGACTCTTGGTGATCCCATGGACTGCAGCATGCCAGGCTTCCCTGTCCTTCACAATCTCCTGGAATTTGCTCAAACTCATGTCCATTGAGTCAGTGATGCCATCCAACCATCTCATCCTCTGTCATCCCCTTCTCCTCCTGCCTTCAATCTTTCCCAGCATCAGGGTCTTTTCCAATGAGTCGGTGCTTCGGATCAGGTGGCCAAAGTAGTGGAGCTTCAGCTTCAGCATCAGTCCTTCCAATGAACACCCAGGACTGATGTCCTTTAGGATGGACTGGTTGGATCTCCTTGCAGTCCAACGGACTCTCCAGAGTCTTCTCCAACACCACAGTTCAAAAGCATCAATTCTTCAGTGCTCAGCTTTCTTTATAGTCCAACTCTCACATCCATACATGACTACTGGAAAAACCATAATTTTGAGTTGACGGACCTTTGTCAGCAAACTGACCTTTGTCTCTGCTTTTTAGTATGCTGTCTAGGTTGGTCATAGCTTTTCTTCCAAGGAGCAAACATCTTTTAATTTCATGGGTGCAGTCACCATTTGAATGATTTTGAAGCCCAAGAAAGTAAAGTCTGTCACTGTTTGCACTGTTTCCCCATCTGTCTGCCATGAAGTGATGGGACCGGATGCGATGATCTTCGTTTTTTGAATGTTGAGCTTCAAGCCATCTTTTTCACTCTCTTTCACCTTCATCAGGAGGCTCTTTAATTCCTCTTCTCTTTCTGCCATGAGGGTGGTGTCCTCTGCATATCTGAGGTTATTGATATTTCTCCCAGGAATCTTGATTCCATCCTAAGGTTCATCCAGCCTGGCGTTTTATATGACGTGCTCTGCATGTAGGGCTTCTCAGGTGGCTCAGATGGTAAGAATCCACCTGAGATGCAGGAGACGCAGGCTCAGTCCCTTGGTTAGGAAGATCCCCTGGAGGAAGGCATGACAGCACACTCCAGTATTCTTGCCTAGAGAATTTTGTGGACAGAGGAGCCTGGCAGGCTACAGTCCATGGGATTGCAGAGAGTCAGACGTGACCTAGCAACTGACGCTTTCACACTCTGCATGTGAGTTAAATAAGCAAGTTGACAAGATGCAGCCTTGATGTACTCCTTTCCAGATTTTGAACAAGACTGTTGTTGCATGTCCCCGCTCTGGCTCTCCTCACTTGTGGGTCCAAGTTCACGTCTGGTACTGTTTCTTTACTCCAGTCCACCTTCGCTTGTACTGTTGTAAAATACATCTCCACAAGTGATGGGACCGGCAGTGCAGTGTGCGCCTATTGTTTTACGCAACTGGTTTTTAAAATTATTTGTAAGAAGAGAAGAGAAGGAATATGCATTCATGCTGTCTCTTTATAATTACATAATTACTGTTTCTGATGCTCTTTGCTTTTTGTATGGATTCAGATAACTGTCTGGGGTCAATGATTTTCACCCTGAAGAACTTTTCCATTAGTCTTGTAAAGTAGGGCTGCTAGTAACAAAATCTGCTATATTTTCTTTATCTGGAAATGTCCTTATTTTTCTTTCTTTTATATAAGATAGATTTATGGGATATGAGATCATGTTTTTGTTTTTTTTTTTTTGTCTTTCAACACGTTGAATATAAGAATAAGCCCACTTTAATCTTTTCCACATACACTTGATTATAAAATATTTAAGGCAGTACTTGTTTAATAGTCCATGACAAACGCTCAGCTAAGTGTTTGCGTGACCCTGCATCTGAATTAACTGTTTGAATGTGTCATCCACCAGTCTTCTGGCTTCCCTTGTTTCTGATGAAAAGTTGGCTGTTACCTTACAAGGGTTTGCTTGTAAATTATCAAATCAGTTCTTTCATGTTACTTTCAAGATTTTCTCTGTCCTTTGTCATTCCACTAGAATGTGTCTGGGTGTGGATCTCTTTGTATTTATCCTTCTTGGAATACATTGAGCTTCTTGGATATGTAGATAGAGATTTTTCATCAAATTTGGGAAGTTTTCAGCCCTTATTTCTTTAAATATTTTTCCCGCTCATCTCTTTTTCCTGGCCCCGCACTCCACTTA